TATTAAACTTATTATTTTAGAAAAGTAGATGGAGATTTTGAGTTTTTAAATTTTTCTTGAGGTATCCTCAAAATATGAGCAGTTTCTTCTCAAATATGAGAGTTCCTCAAAGATTCTCCTATTTTCTAAAAAATAGACTTCGGTTGTAGCTACAACTATGTATGTAGCTACTGAACGGCGTCACATAAAATCGGTTCGAACTAATAAGCTTACTCCGGCTGCCGGAGTTGTGGCCACAAATTTTTGCCAAAAAACGGGCAGTAAAACAGCCCTTGTAGAAATGTTCAGCCATCGCATGAAAACAACCTAAAGACGTGCGCGACATGTGTTAACCTATTATGTACCCAGGTCAGCTGTGGGCGGTGGGGCTAGTTTTCCGGTTATGTGTGTTGATGTTATAGAGGAGTAAATGATAATAAAAGATGCAAGATATATTCATTGAAAAGTGGAAACTGCATATTTATTACAATTATTTATGCTGAAACGTTGTCAACTGTACATTGAAAGACTGTTGGGAGCATGAGGCGTATGGCATTTTATCATGCGTCATACAAATTAACTTAACTGCACTATAAAGTAAACTAGGGTCATTACGGAAACTTAACATTGAGCGAAGCATCCTCTACTTAACCAAACTTTACCCTAGTGAGTATATTAACGTCACCACAGATAATGCTTTATATCTATGAATCACAATTCTCACAGTTACTCTGATTGCTGGATATTTGAACTGCATCACGCTGAGTTTACTTTACTATTAGGACAATATATGAGGCGGCAATGAATCGGTATTCTATGTCTTGTGGTGGTGCAGAGAAGCTTAATCTTGTAATCCTTTAAGAATTCTATTGGTTTTCTCATATGCAATACTCAATGTTTTTGATGTAATAGCCCCATTCGTCCGAAAACCAGGCTAATTACAAACCAAATACTTAATTAAGAAAACGACTAATGTGACTAGGATTCTGATGATAGGTTTTCATGATTTAGAGTGACAATCAGAGATCATATGAATAGGTATATTGCATCTTTATAGCAATATCACAGAACGCTTTGATGCGCGCTTTTATATTCTCTTCATGCACAGAACGAACCAGTTATGTCTGGTACGCCAGTACACACGCATTATCTTAATATAGAATTTCATTAGACCCATATAACCGACAAATGTACAGAGGCTCGAATTTCCAAACGTTTTCACATTTTAAATGTACAAAGTAATCTGATCATAATGGGAGTTTTTTGGTATGTTGAGTGCGCCGTGACCACACGGTAGTCACGCACTACGTTATAAAATGAGAGATCCGCACTCAACATTAAAAAGTAATTATTGTATAATAAAGGTCGACTATATTGGGATACAGAATATGTCATATTTTATATGCATATAAATTCATATCAAAAATCGAAAATTGCCCCAAAATGAAAGCTCTTATTTACAAGCAAATATAATGGTCCACTGAGTGGTTCATGAATTAACAATTCTCTTTCAATTCATTAGGCAGTGGCCTCTGAACACTATTTCAGTCCCATATATGAACACAACGTCAACGTTTTTATCCTAAACGCTTAGTCTTTTCTTGAAAAACACAACGTAGTCTCTGGTTAAAATTTCGAAATCAAAACCCACACAACGTACTTCATTAAAACAGTACTCTTACATTATAGATATATAATATATTAAATCACACTTTAGCTTTGATTATGAACGATGAAAACTTATAGAAAAAAGGAGCTAAACGGATAGCCTACTTTGATTATAACAATTCATGTACAAAAAAGCAAGAAAACTAATTATTAATGAACCTCTCTATGTACAAAACATTGTCTCACCGGGCGCGAGACAAGGAACAATATAAATTGATTGCATTGCGATCAATAATGGCCCCAAAAACTAATTAACATGAAAATTAAACATTAAATAAAGTTATATTTGTTCATCGTCTCACGCTTCGGCAATCACAGGTCAGGCAGCAAGTATTGAGAGGACTGCTTTCTACTCTACCTACTGAGAGATCATTGGAAAACTCTAAGGCAAGACAGAGTCTCGCATGAAACGCATTTACAATTATTAACATGTTCACTACACTTATAATACAAGTCTTTGGGCATCAATGTTTAACGACCCGAAAATACTACATAAGAATGTAGGCACATGGTCTGACGATAAAAAAGAAATTTAAGAAAAACATAATTCGAAAAGGCAAAAATCTTGAGGCAAGCGAGGCTTGCTGGTTCTCTAGGTTAAGAATTTTTTTCGAAAATAGCACTAGGGCAAAGTGTCCTCGAGGTGCTAAACTTTTGTGCCTTTAAAAACTGCAATAAGTGCGAAAAGACTCAAAATTTTAGCATATCGCGGACAACAATGAATGAGTACCCGCCTTGCGAGTGATAAGCCCCTTGGCTAAACCAGAATCAGCAACGCGTACCATTAAAATGGTTGACTGATACAGAGTCACAGAAGATGTGTTTGACTCGAAATATGGGCACTGTAATTAAAATCTAATACGTAACAAAATATTCTTCTCTCGTCGAGAAAGAAAAATCTTTGACTGATAAATACAAAGTCAAAACATGCTCATCACCAATTCCGAAAAACACAGTCTTTTCTGTTCACCGGACACGAGAGAGCAGTCTCCAGCCCACTAGCAGTACTACGGCTGTGGTCAGGAAGGTGCGCTTGTGCTTGGCCGGCTGGGGGAGCAGCAGCGACAGCAGCCCGGAGGGCCGTGCCGGGGGTTCGGCTGGTCCGGCTGGTCCGTCCACCTCATCCTGCAACAGAAACGGAAACACTCCATGAAACATAAATCAAAGGACAGATCGCATCGAATTGCACGATTATGCGCGGTGGGTCAATAAGAAAACGCTGCGAGTAAGATGTGCAAAAGAGCATTTCACGGCCCAATAAATGCAGTCACGTATTAGCATGCGGCAGGTGATGACAATGCTAACGCCGGGCCCTTTTCTGTTTCCGCGAGTGGACCGGGTTAATGGTGCACACGCGCGAAGCAACTAAAGCGAAACGGCGTCGACTGGAGGGGGACCCTCTCTCTGGATCTCGATCACCCTCTGCCCTCCGCCCTCCTCGCCCCGTCGTAAAAGTGACCGCTGCCATGTTTAGGCCCTGATGGTGCGCCCTCCAATGACCCTTGCAGGGGCTGTGCGATCCGAAACACGTCTTCATATTTCTGGAACGGACGCTCCCGTCGAAGGCGGTAAAATTGGGGAAAGATATTTGACGATCACTCGACGAGGCCCGGGGTCGTTTGGCTGGGGTACTACAGTACTAGCGCAGCTGGTCTCCGCCGTCGTGAGCTGCGCCATATCGCGCACTCATGAATACGGCGGCACCTGATGCGGCGCGGCAAATGGAAAAGGCTGTCATTTTTATCACATTTTGCCTTCGCACGCGCGTGTCAGCCCGGTTGGGACGACAGGGCATAGCACGGGGAGGGGGAAACGGATTGAATTTGGCGGCCTGCGACACGGGTAGTGCAGCGAAACAATGTATTCGATCACGGCATGCTCGGCGAGGAACAGGAAGGGAACGATATCCGCGACGGGCTGGAGCGAAGGGGCGGGACGAGGAGGGTCTCTGAGAGGAGCTGGCTTTAGATTTGCGCGTAAAGAGTCCTTGAGAATTTTTTAATAGTATGATATCAGTAGGTATTGTATTCAGCCGCCTTGCAGCTCAAACGTCCTCAATACACACGCTACTACGCCCCCCTCTCCCGATTACTTGTTGTCCTCGAGAATTTTTGTATCAACTTTGTTCTGGGAAATCCATGATAGGACGTCGAGCCACCCCTCTGCACCGCGCCACACCACCGACTCCCCTCCACATTTCGCCCTTTCTCCTTCGCTCCCCCACCTCTATTCTCGTCCTGTGCCTCCGTCCCAAAGATGTGATTTTCCTCGAGGGATATAAATGTGGCAGCGAACACTCGGCACTTCCCTCCCCATCCGTATCGAGCTGCGAGCTGCAGATTATAACCTCTGGCTCTGCTCCTCGCCGAACACGCTGCAGGTCGCACAGTTAGGCCGCTATTGCGCCCGTGTTTACGACCCAGATGAATTATTTGGTGCTCCTGTCTCACTTGCTCCTGGGTGTCACACAAACAGGAGCGACAAAGACAGCGTGGCGAGTGTCACGGGGGAGGAGAGGGGAAAAAAACGCGAGGAACTGGGCGCCAAAACTGGCGCCTTGCTGTGGGAGACTAAGAGAGCGCGTGAGGGGGTGAGAGGGGAAAGAGACAGGGACGGGGAAGGGGAGACAAAAGGGGAGGGGGCTAAAAGCAAGACGGCAGCGGCGTCGTTGTGGCAAAGAAAAGTGATTAATTACAACAAAGCGAGTCGTGTGTGACAAGGAGGGGACTATTAGGAGGAGGAGAGATAAGAGAGCACGGAATTCCGCGACCATCACGAACCCCCTCCTCCTTCCCCCCTTTCCCACCACACCGCGACTCATATTTTTTTGTCCTTTCTTTTTTTCGCTATCTATGTCCCTCTCTCCGGTTAAATGAGAAAAATGATGCATCAAAGAAAGCCAAGATCAAACTCGAACAGGCTCGGTGAAAAAAAATCCCGTCCCGGCTTTTACACCCAGAGTGAGCGGGCGTGGGGCGTGGCGGGGCAGAGCCACCACGAAAAGGCCTCTTTTTTCGCAGGCGATTTCGCTTTTCTGATTTTTGAGTCTGTCTCTCTTTCTGTCCCTGCAATCGGCTTAGAGCGGCGGGGCGGCGCGGCCTGATAGCTTTGCCTTCCGTCCAAATTAACGGAGAAAAATAATAAAAGCGGGAGATTTGGACGCGTTTTGGGGAAGAGGCCTGGGACGTGACGTGCTACGGGCTTCGAAACCATAGCGGACCCAACTCTTAATTCATCACCAGACATTCTTTTCCCTTCCACAAACTCCGACGCTCATACGTACTAGGTCTCCCCAAGTATTCTATGTTCTAAAATACAGGTGGCTAAAGTAATTCGAAATGTGTCACGTTTCTTTGGTCTCTCTGTCCACATTTCAGTTTACCTGAAACATTTTTGAGCCTAAAAAAATAATATAAAAAAATACCTTATTTCCGACGCTGTGGCTGCCTCTAGAAATTCTTAACCCGGTGAGCCTACATAGTGAAATGATGTCTAGAAATCCTGTCTCGTGGGTCTTGAAGGGCACTATTCGGTTTAGCACGCTTTGCCCAGGTCCGCATGGATCCAATTTGAGGTCCTTATGAAATGTTCCGCTCTGCGGCGCTTCCCGGCCCGACGCGTCTCCCCCGGGCAGCGACACTTCCTCTCTCGCCCCGCACAAAGGCCCCACGCACAAAGCTTGCCACTCCCTTTTCCTTTTTGCACTCGCGACTCCGCGGTCTCTTATCTGAAATTGAAGAGAACAGTGTCTTTGATTTATGTGTGCGGGCCTCTGCGGCTGATGAATGCCGCGGCGTGCCTCCAGCCGGCCGAAGGGATCGAGACGAGACGAGAGCAATTATTGATATTCAATTAGACCCCCCCCCCTCCTCTCTCTCCTCACTAGAAGACTTGTTTAATTTGTCACTCGCTAAGGCACAGTCGCAGAAAGCAGGGGGAAGGGGGGACCACAGGAAGAAGAGGGAGAGGTGGGGGAGAGAGAGAGCAGCGTCTCAAATCATCATCCCTCATTGTATCTCTGCGTCATGTCATTTCCACCGCTCCAGTTAGAAAATATGCAGAGAGAGGGGGAGGGGGGATGACGATGATGAATACAAAACCACGTTCGCCGCAGATAGACTTCGCCGGCCTTCTTCCAAAATGAAGACGCTAGGTAGGAGGGGAAAGCAGGAGAGGCGCCGAGGGAGGAGGAGGGTGGCTGATTTGTTTCGCAGTGTATCGTGTGATTTATGGTAGCGCCAAATCTTTTTCTAATGAATAACAATGACTGGTTTGAATATTTGGAGAGAGAGAAAGAAAAACCGAGAGAGAGAAAGAGGCGGTTGTAGGAAACGCGGTGACGCGGACGAAGCGTTCTGGTGCCGGAGACACACGCCAGAGAGGTTTGACAGAAACGAAATCCCCTCGAACGTGACGCGGCTTTGGGGACCCCCGAAAAAAAAAAAACACAAAGAATAAAACGAGGAGAGAAAGAGCCACTGTCCGAAAAATCCCTCCAATTCCTTTTTTTTAGCGCAACCTGTCGAATCGCGGGAGGGCTGGGGAAGAAGAGGGTGCCACTTGACACTGCGGCCTATTGGATTAGCCCGAGGGGGTGCGGCTGCCCCCCCCCCCCCCCCCCATTCCCCTCGGGTTCCGCGGAAGCTCCACTGCAGCGCTGGCCCGCGACAGGTCTGGCCACGGCCTTGGCACACGCACCATGAGGTGAGGCGATCAGCTACTAGTGTGTTCGTTATGGCGACTCACCAGAAGTTATAGGTAATAATGGTCGCTATTACTGCCTCGATGCCTCGGGGCGTCGGGCCGACTCTTCGCATATAACTAGGTCAGCGCATAGGATCAGGATAAGGCTTTTTAAAACATGATAAAGCTTTGCGGTCGGCTTGCTTGCGAATCGCCTTTCCATCTCTGTTTCAGTTGAGGCAGGCAGTTCCGAGGTGCTCAAGGCCCCCGATGTACTTGTGGAAACAGCGGCCGCCTTGTCAAACCAAACTGCAGCTTTTATCGCGAAAAAAATGAGTAATTCATGAGAAAAGCGACCCGGAAAAGCAGGCGCGGCTGCAGCGGAAACGACGTCCCGCGAGCAGCGGCTAGGCGCGGCGCGGACGAGCGGGCACGGTACCGCACACAGCGGTGACCTTGCACGAGGCTACCCGCGCACCGAGCCGATCTAAGGGCCGCCGGGGCGTCTGGCGAGTCTATCCGCGGAGCTGCGGCGCGCCGAGCCGCGGCAGACAGTGTGTCGCCGCCGGGTTATCGAGCTAGCGTGCGCCCGTCCGACTGTCTGCACGTCCGACTAGAGCGCAGACACGTCAGGCCGCGACACGTGGCGCGCACACGTCACCAGACTGGGGCACGCACGTCTTGCAAAGAGTGTATACCACAGCGTCTGTACTCACCGGCAGATGCAGCTGGTCCGCGATGTTCCGGAGGTGCTGTCCCACCCGCAGCCAGCTGTCCCCCTCCGCCATCTTGCAGAGGGCGTGCTCCAGCTCGTCCTCGCGCAGGGCGCGGGGGACCGCCGCGGGGGCGGGGCACTTGAGGGCGGCGCGGGGGCGGTGCCACCGCGGGGCCGGCTTTGGGGTGAGGTGGGCCACCCCAAGGGCGGGGCCGAGGGCGGGGCTTGGCCTGGGGGCGGTCCTCGGGGCCGGGCAGGGGGCGGCGCGCTCAGCGTCGCACACCACGTCGGGGAGGCGGTAGCACAGCGTGGTCGCTGACGACGCCACAGCCTCGCGGACCTGCGGCTCATCTTCGACGTTCGAGGATGGCGAGGTCGGCAGGGGCACCGGAGCTGATGAGAACGGCGACGTGTCCGGGGTCTGCTGAGATGAGAGTCCCGGGCTCGAGGCGGTTATGTACTTGGTGAACGGGGAGGCGGGCCACCTGGGCTGTCGGGAGAGGGACTGCCTTGGTGCAGCTCGGGGCACCACGTCGGGAAGGGCGCTGTTGACGTCAACGTCCACCGGGGCGGGGGTGGCGGTGGCTGCAGCGGCTGCCACGCCGGGGGGTTCCGGGTCGTCCTCATCCTCCTCGTCAGCCTGCTCCTCACACGAGGGCAGTCGGCCTGTGGACAGAGAGACGAGGCGGCTACAGAAACAGAAGCTGACCGATCGGAGAGTTGAAGACTCCCAACAATCACTTTGGATGGATAAACGGCACAACGCATGCGGAGAAACTGGGTGCTTCGACCTGAAGAGAGAAGAGAGACAGAGAAAGGAGACTAACCTCGGCGCGGTTCGGCCGGACTGCAGCTCGGGGAAAGGCTCGGGGGACACCGCGACCAGCCGGACCTGCGCGGCAGAGACGGGCCTGAGCTCACCAACATCAACACCCTACGCACGGCGGAAACACGCCCGCGTGGCAGGACAAAGTATGGGATGTGGCGTACCGTGACGAAGCGTGTCGGTGCGGGTCGTGACGGGCGAGCGACGATGGGAGAAGGTAGTTGAGGGTGGTCGGTACGTCGCATGACCTGCATTGTGCCCCTCCAGTAACCCCCCCCCCCCCCTCCCCAGGCGAACTTTGTTACTTTTTTGTCAGTTGAGATGTTAAACTGACGTCAGTAATGGAGGCTGGCACACATTTCGCCAGAACGCGCGGCACGTGCGGCCAGCGCCGGCACGTGGAGCCGTGAGTCAGCGCCACCTGCACGGCGGCGCGTCGCGGGGCCGCGGGGTGGCGCGCGGGGGAATCATCGATACCCGCCGGGTATCAAGGCCTCGGTGCAGCGCAGTGACGCCACGAGTAGCGACGCGACGCCTTGGGCGGAGCGGGGAAGGACCAGCGGCAGTGACGCCACGACTGCAGCGCGCTCTGTGGCCGCGCGCGCCAACTCCGCGCGCGGTGGTTTGCCCTCCCGCCCCTGGTCGTGTGGCCCGCGTGCGCCGTACGCGCGAACCGAGCTGGCAGCCCTGCGGCGCACGCCGCGCCCAGACCGAGCAGGCAGCAGACACCGCCGCCATGACTCGCGCCGCATGCTGTCGCCCCCTAGTGGCGCGGTCGCCAAGCTCTGCCTGGCGCGGCGGTGGCGGTTCGGTTCGACGCCGCCCGCCGCTCCGACGCGACGCTGCCGACGCCGCCCTTGCCCCCGTGGAGCGCTCTGCTTTCTCCGGCGGGGGGGCGGCCCGGGGCCCCGGCGCCGATAGGGAAGACCTCATCGTGACCAATGTGACTCAGGGGTCCATCCCGTGACGCACGCGTGCGCACGCATCGCTTTCCGGCAGATCGGCCCGCTATGATTAGGAACCCGTGAATCCCGGGAAGGCCAATTTTCTCCTGTTTTGCGGTGACGCCGCACCTCACGCCGGGCGGGGCGGGGCCGACGGGTGGCGTGGTGCTCGGTACTGTCGGGTCAAAGGCAAGGCGCTGCAAGTCGCGCAACACTTTAGCTCAGGTGGGAGGCTGACGGCCGGCGGTGCAAAACACTCGCAGGTGGGTCAACGGCCGACGGCGGCTCGCGCGAGTAGAGCGGGAGGGGGCGGCGGGGGTCAGGGACCCGCGGGCAAGCGTGAAGAGCGTGCAAAGAACTTTCGCCTTCCCCATTCGAGAACATGGTTACCGAAAGAATGAAGCAAAGTTAAGTGGTGTTCTCGGAACTCAACGATCAGTGACATAGACTGCGTACTTCAAAGACATTTTGAATATGGGGTCGGTTAGTCAGCATTATCAGACAATGTTAGTACTTTTATCACAACGATTATTTAATATCACAAATTTATTAGGAACATCACAGTACTTGACATGGGTCACTCCCGTCACAATATTATGAAATAAATAATTTTTAGGACGGCACTTTGGAATTGAAAATGACAGCCTGCATGTGAACATAAATCCTAATATTTGGCATTGTAACACAGTAAAACATAGAGCGTCTTAAGCTAACAACCTAAAACCGTAAAGTTAGCAAAGGTTGACTCTTTCTACCGACATACATTTTGCTTTGACTAGCAATAATTGGCATTCGATTGCATGTAGCACTCTTATATTTAAGCCATTGTAGGATTAGAATGTCGGAAGTCTGAACTTTGGCGGAAAGCCACTGAATATGAGGTAATTTTGTTATTATTGTATTAAACAGGCAACCAAACAATGTTATGACTAAATGCTTTAGTACATAAAGCAGCTGACAAAACTTTTAGGAATTGGCATTGAAACCAGACCGTTTGACCCAAAATGACCCGCGAGATAAGACAGGTTAATTTATGTTCGTATGAGAGAAAATACAGATGAGAACTCATTGATGAAATTTTTTAAAAATATTGTTCATGTTTTACCGAACCCATTAAGTACAAGGCACAAATACTTATTGAACTGCTGAGCAGGGGCAAACAGGTGAAACGGTCTACGACCCCGGGTTAGCCACACACGTGTCTGGAACTTCCCTCTACCCAGTGGGATTGTACGCCTTACGTAGATATGTTTACTGATACTTGCACTTGTTGTGAAAAGTTTTATGGGATTGTTTTTAAAGAAATCAAATTA